ATCTGCCCTTCGTAAAACCATGTTGTAAATTATCGCACTTGCCATTAGCCTCAAGGTCCTCAACTAGTTTCTCTTTCAGAATTTTCTCCAGCACCTTGCATAGACATAGACAAGTAACTGACTAGCAAGTTACAAAAAGACCATATAATTATGATTAGTATGCATTTATTATTTTAGATGTTAAAAACTTTTTGAAATACAGAGGGGTGGGGTTTAATAAAAGCCTCCCTGGGTTTCAGAATCTGAGCTCCAACTTCGAAGTACTGTTTACACAGCTATTTTTATTGTGCTAGCACAAACCCTGCTAACCCAAATCTGTCAACCCAGGCTGGGAGGCTTGCTTCTGTAGGCTGTGTATACATGCCCTAAGGGACTGTACTCCTGAGAATCGGACAATGTAGAACTTTTCATTAGGCCTATGGCTCAAAACAGGCATTAAGTGAGACTTAATTGGTGCATAATCCTCGTGCTCGGTGCATGTGTGAATGCCATCCATGGTTATTGGTTTAAGGAAAACAAATGTGATATTATTAATCAGAGTTAGAATGTTTTTCATCTAAAGCACAGACAGTGCAGGCTCAAGCGCGTTCCATGTGATAATGAACTAAGGTGTTATCTTTATTCCACGTTTCATTTGGAAAGAATTTATTATTTGGAAAGATTTGTTGGATTACTGTCATTACTGTCATTGTATTACTGTCATTGCCAAAAACCTTTAACGGCTCACTTTCAAAAGTCAATGGAAAAAAGTTGCCACAACTAACTAGAATAATCCTCCTGAAAGTCCTTGCTTCTGTGCTTGCTTTCACCAGATTAGCAGTATTTCCACACACAAGCCATTCCATCAGCTGCAAGAGAAAAGATCCTGCTATGATCTGGGCTCAGTGCTATGTGCAAGACTCTTCCTTTATGACCTACAAAGCAAAACCACAATATTTATAACAGAGATCAGGGAGATGTCAGGATTTTAAAATGAGAAATCTTTGCCATTTTGAAAATTGCCCACCCATGGTAAGGCCTGGTTTACTATAACTACAGCTGCACAACATGTTGCATAGGATGTGCTGTTTGGTTTGGGCAAGCCTAAGATTTACAGCAGTTTTACATTAAGAAAAAGCTGAAAGCAAAATATTCCTCTTATTAGGGGCCACATTTGAACTATCAGGACTTTACAAAAGCTCCGCAAGGCTTTTCTCTCAAAGGAGAATGTTATGCCACTTTGTCTTAAACCTGAACTCTTGATTCTCCACTGCAGTCAAAATATGTGTCTAATCTATGACTGGTAATGTGTCTCACTACTGATCTTTCTCCTGTGGCTGCACATGCTTCTCAGACACTTTGCCACGGATCCAGCAGTTATGAGATAGTGTCTCCAACTTTTGAGTTATTTGCACTATAAAGCCCTCTTGAAAAAGCTCCTACACAATGACTTATTGGAGTTGTATGTTGAGTGCACCCATAGTTATAGAGAAAATTAGGGGCAAGATTCTGGCTGCCTGCTGTGGCCACTTTGCACTAGTCCACCAGCACAAAGCTGCAAAACTAGCTTCCCTGGTTATGGAAGGATTCCCCCAGCATGCAGGCCTTGCTGAGAAAATTCAGACAGAGCCCTAGCAGAAAGATGGACAAGTATTATACTGGGATTCAGGAGCGCTGGTTCAGTTCCCTGGTCTGCCATAGACTTCCTGTGTGACATTCTCTCTGTGCCTCAGTCTCCATCTGTAATATGGGAATAACAGCACTGCCCTACCTCGCAGGGATGTTGAACAGATACATACATTAAAAAGGTGAGATGCTCAGATGGCAATGAGGGCCATATGAGTCTCTTAGAGTCAGGGCCGGCTCCAGCATTTCTGCCGCCCCAAACAACAACAACAAAAAAAGCCGCGATCGCAATTGCGATCGGCGGCAGCAATTAGAAAAAAAAAGCCACGATCGGCGGTGGCAGTTCAGCGGCAGGTCCTTCGCTCCTAGAGGGAGTGAGGGACCTGAATTGCCACAGGTGCCGCCCCTCTCCCTTGGCCGCCCCAAGCACTTGCTTGTTAAGCTGGTGCTTGGAGCCGGCCCTGCTTAGAGTGGCCTAGTACTGCCAGGCTGCTAGAATGGCCCCTTGCGGCCATTGTGATTTAGAGCAAATTAGAGCAGACCTGATGCTGATTAATGCGTCACTTGGCAGAGGCTCTAAGGGTATGTCTACACTGCAGCTGAAAACCCACGGCTGGCCCGTGTCAGCTGACTCAGGCTCATGGGGCTCGGGCTAAGGGGCTGTTTAATTACTCAGGCTGGAGCCCAGGTTCTGGGACCCCACAAGAGGGGAGGGTCCCAGAGCTCAGTCCTCCAGCCCAAGCCCCAGCGTCCACACTACAATCAAACAACCCCTTAGCTGGGGCTCATGAGACCCAATCAGCTGACACAGGCTAGCCGCAGGTGTTTAATTGCAGTATAGACCAAGTTGCTGGCACACAAGAGAAGCATAGGAATATATTTGTGCAGCCACTTGGTTGCCTGGACCCTCCCCAGAGACTCTGTGGAGTATACACCATAAGAGTTCCTCTTAACCCCTCAAAATAGGTCTAAAGAGGGATCAAGGTGTTCCACAGGCTTTATGCGGATGCTTTCACCTCAGGATTGAATTTCACCCAATGCAACCCTAATGGATGAAAATGGATTAAGATTTACTATCAGTACCATGGTAGAAAGACATAGAGTGGTATGAAAGCCAGCCAGTGTGTATCAGTGATTAAACACTGCACAAAAATGCACCAAAAAGGTGCCAGAAAAGGTGCCAGAAAAAAAAGTATTTTTAAATGAACAGACACTCTTATGATCCAAAAATTAGAAAGCCATGTTAGTGATAACTTGTCATTGAGCAGGCAAATACATGACACACAAATGGAACTGCAGTAAATACTTACACAATTTAAGTATACAAGTGTGTGCATTTCTGTACCTAAACTGGACATGTGTTTTAATTTAATTTTGGATGCCTGTGCTGAATTGTTTCAGCTTATGCTGAAACAAGTGATGGTTTGTAACGTAACATATGGGAGTGACAGCTAAAACAAGCACAAATTGCAAGAAAAGACTCTAATATGACGTATTCCTGCACCACAGCCCCATGAAACACCATGCGCATAGCAGAAAGGGAAACACACTCATTCTAGCTGTCACTATGGTACATGACACACATTCCTTTGCACTATGAGGTCAAAGTCATTCATTTAAACAAAGAAAAAGCTAATTAGCAAATGGACATGTGGAAAGAATTATTTCAAAAAGTTATTTTGGAAGCAGCTGCTGGCCCAGTGTTCTACAGGTAGCACTCTGAGCTGCTAGATTCAATATCCACATTCAGCTTGTGGACTATATCTTCCGGGCCAGAACAGGATGGGAGCAGTCTTGCATTAGTACACTCAACCCCACGGAAGGAAGAAGGGATAAGTCTGGGAAAGCTTTGTATTGTCCATATCAGCTAATTTTTGAGAGACAATGTTGAAACAAGAATTCTATCCAGTCCTCCATGCTCAGTGAAATTGTACTGTGGGACCTACAGAAGAGGAAGAAATGGTGGGCACCCTCAGACTGGGTCTTAGATGGCCTCCAGCATAATATATGCTGATGTAAAGGGATCCCATTACCAAAAAAGTATTTTTATAGAGGTAGTTTGTTGTTAAGTTAAATAAGCTAAAAAACAGCCTTTCCAATCACATACATAGACATCCATTGTGTGTGCATGCGTGCACATGAATAGATAATTAGATGCACATATATAGTATGTATATATATATATACTGTGTATAGATATTAATTCATGAGTACACAGAGTATGTGTATATTCAATATAAAATATTCAAAATATATTCAATCACATCAGTATGTGTGTGCAACTGAAAAGGCTGCTTTTTAACTTGTTTTATGTGTGTGTGTGTGTGTGTGTGTGTGTGTGTGTGTGTGTGTGTGTGTGTGTGTGTAGTAATACATAGATTACATATATAGAGCGAGAGAA